ATGAAGGGTATTTTCCTTGAGACCTATCACATTAGCTGTTTGATTATCTGCCACCATTCACTGTTAACTATAGGTCATGGAAAGCTTCATTTGAATACATTGACTGTGGCATCACTTAATATAGTCCACATGATGCTATTTCAGATGCTTTGCATGCAAATAGACTTGTGTTGTAGCTTTACCTGGTATCTCAATCTTGGGAATTCGTGGTACAGTTTTAAGTATACTCTGCTACATTACACATTGAAGCAGGATTTGAAGGGGATGTTAGAATGAGGAATATGCTATGCAGTGTGATTACAGATTCAGAGGTTATATTGTGCAGCTCCTGCTGAAGGCCTACAATTTCTCCAGTTCGTTCAGTTTTGAGCTGCTGGTTTTATTCTAAATCTCTTCCCTTTAGAAAAATGGTGAAGTTACATGAAATGAAGGAGGGTGTCCTCAGTATGAACAGAGACTATATGGTGGTCACTCTTACCAACAGTGTCATGGACAGCTGCATCTGTCATAGGTTGTTTGGTGAGGACCAAGTCAGTTTTCTTTTGCTCATGTTTGTCCTCATACCATCAGCCACAGGTCCAGTATTGCAGAAGTGTCCTTCAGGACATGGATAGCCATTCAATAGCGTAGCTATTGAGTCAGTCTTGGTGATTGTTATGAACATTGCCCAACCTGAATGCATTGTCTGCCTTTGGTCCCTCATTGCTTCTTCCAAGACGTGTTCATCATACGGAAGTACTGATGTATCATCTAAGGGAGGGACAGAGGTCATTATCAGTAGCAGGTTTCGGTGCCTGGGTTTGCCCTGAAGAATTTGTGCGGTTTGAAGTCTTTGTTAAAGAGAACTTTCCCATTTTCCATGCAGGTTTGCTGAAGTTAGTGAGGATGGTGTGTCATTGTCATTTACAGTGCCTAGGATGGGGAAGCACTTTTTGTTTTTATTTGACTATTTTCGGAACAGTTTGATGCAACTGAGCCATTTGCTAGGTCATTTCAAAAGGCAGTTAAGAGTCGAATTCTGTGGGTCTTGGGTCAAATATAGGCCCGAACAAATAAGGACATTGTGGAACCAGATGTGTATTTAGAAGAATCCACCTTGTTTTCCATTATGTAGTTGAAAACATAACTTTGGAAGTTAGGACTTTGCATACCATTAAATTTAGTTTCCTAACCAGAAATGTTTGAAAACCATTGCTGTGGATTTTGCTTTAATGACCTGTTATAGCCCAATGTGCAAAAATAATTTTGATGTGGATGATCAGCCATGTTCTAGAGTGGTGGAGCAAGCTCAAGGGACTGAATGTTTTGTTGCAGCTCCTACATTCTTAGCTGCCTTATTCCATGAAGGAAACACAGTTTAAATGCCAAAATCCTCTTTCAGAAGCTGCAGAGATGAGTTAAGCATGTAAAACAAGTTTGTAAGGGAATAAGGCAGTGGGTGGTTGGGCAACGAGTGGCATCTGGGGAGTATGAAAGGCTAGGATGACAGATGGGTAAGCGAAAGGATAGAGGTTTGGGAGTAGTCAGGTATAGGGTAGTCAGATCAGGTCAATAGGATTGTTAGGGGATGGGGCAAAGTTGGAAGATCAGCTGTAATTGGAGAACGAAGAGGATATCTATTCAAGGGATGAGAAAGAGTTGTAAATCGATGATGGGAGGATAGTAGTTTGGTTGGGGTGTTGTCAGGTTGGAACAGGGATTAGTTGAATTATGTTGGGGGTGTAGTTACGTGACCAGGGGCCATAGATGGGTATCAGATAGTGAGATTGCTGTTGTTAGAGGTCAACAGATAGATGTTTGGAGGGGTTCTCAGATCGCTTTGTGGTTCTTTGGGTGATCAGGGAGCTAGTCAAGTGATGGGGTTTGTTGGGTTGGGTCCAGTGTATATGTGGGGTCATCAGTCAGGGAGTCATACAGGTAGTTTGGACATCAGGAATGTAGCCAAGGGATCAGGCGTTTGTTGGGTCAGGGAGGTAGTCAGGTCAGGACAGGGTGCTGGATGGTATAAATGGAAGAGTTGCAGGTTAAATATTCAGTGTGATAGTTTTATTGTGTCAGGAGTATATCCATGGTATATAGTTGGAGTTCAGTGGATGTGGTTGTAGGACTCGAGGGATAGTTGTTTGCCTGGGCGTGTACTCTTTGGAGGTTTGGGCATTGTTGAGTGATAGGGAAGTTGGGAGATCAGAGTGGAGGGTAGATGTTGAAGGGCTCCATAGAAGAGTCAGTTATTCAGGAGTTATTCATTGCTTTTATCATTCTAACATTTCCTGGGCAATTCTCCAAACAAGTGAGATTCCTCTGTATTCTCCATATCCAAATCAGAATTGAAGACTTGTTCAGAGGGTTCTGGAAGTAGGGCAATTAACTCTCAGATATTTAAACTTCCCGAAAAATTCCCATGGAATTGACAGATGGGATTTGTGAGGAGTCCCAATGCATATCTTTTGAGATACACCTTCAATTATCCAGAGACTGGAAAGTATGGACATTGTAACTTTCTGTGGCAAGGAACATCAGGCTTTTAGTAAACCTGATTGAGTGCCCAATAGCAAGATGCTGGTTTTGTACAGTTTACAGAGGAGCATTGTACACGTGTTTGAATTTTTATCAAATTTGCAGTAAAGTTCCAATGAGCACCGAAGGGTCTCGACCCGAAACGTCAGCCTTCCTGCTCCTCTGATGCTGATTGGCCTGCTGTGTTCATCCAGCTGTACACCTTGTTATCTAAGTTTTACCATTACTTCTTTTTCAGAATTTCTCATCCATTGCTAGACCACCTCCGCCCTATATCAGGTGAAAATAATTATCTCCAAGAATTACAATGTTCACAGCTGAGAAAAAAATACATTCAGTAATTACATCTCACAGTAATGTAATTTTAACAATTTTTTCAGTCAATCTCCGTCTCTGAACACCAGAATCATGATGCAAACTATTACATTCACAAGGACGAATTTTTAAATTCATTGACTGTAAAGTGCTTTGGGATGTCTTGAAATTATGAAAGACACTTTACAATGAAAATCTATTCTTCTTTTCTAATGATCTATAAGTGTAAACAATCTGGAAATTCCCTGGCTCTATGGATGTCTTTGGGTGCCAGTGATGACGGTTGAGTGGGAAATGTAACGGGAACAACTGTTGAAACATCTGTGATGTAAGCTTGAGACCAAACACAGACTAGGTGACCGCTTTGCAGAGCACAGCTGCTCTGTCCATGTCACTGATGCTCGAGTTACTCACCATTTCAACATGTTCTCTGGCCCCTTTGCTAATATCCTGCCGACTGGGTTTCCTGAACACGCATTTTTTAGGGCGGCACGGTGGCTCAACGGTTAGCACTGCTGCCTCACAGCACCAGGGACCCGGGTTCGATCCCAGCCTTGGGTTACTGCCTGTGTGGAGTTTGCACATCCTCCCTGTGTCTGTGTGGGTATGCTCCGGTTTTCTCCCACAGTCCAAAGATGTGCAGGCTAGGTGGATTGGCTGTGCTAAATTGCCTGTCGTGTTCAGGGATGTGTGGATTAGGTGGGTTATAGGGGGATGGGCCTCGGTGGGATGCTCTGTGGGTGGGTGTGGACTTGTTGGGCCGAAGGGCCTGTTTCTGCACTGTAGGGGTTCTGTGATTTATGACCTCGTCCAGCTGTAGTGCTCCAGTGAAGTCCAACATAAGCTGGAGGAGCAGCACCTCATTTTCAAGGTACACAGCCTTCAGGATTCAACATGAAGTTCAACAACTTCAGATCGTGAACACTCTGTTTTCCATTTTGATTACACCCCTTCTACCCCTCTCCCCTTCTGTCTGGTTTGCTTGAGTTTGCTACATTTTTTTAAAAAACTATTTTCTAAACAACCTCTTCTAGAAATGTTATTGCACACCTTTGGAACAAGTTTGATATGAATCCCAGCCTCCTGGCTCAAATGTAGGGATACTGCCATTGTACCACAAGAGCCACCCTTTTCTTTTCTTCGCTTTTCTAACCAGAAGTGTCATCGCATAGAACTGAGTGACCTTCCCCCGCACCCCCCCAGCACAAATCACTGTGACTTTTTACATTTTTTTTCTTAAAACTACTATCCACCACCAGTAAAAACACATGTAGCCAATTCATTATGTACTTGCAAAGCCCATTATGGACAATGCAAACCATCAAAAGTGAACTTTTTTTTTAACTCCATGCAGTTAAAATCAACAGTGTTTTGCGTTGAGATCAATCCTTTGCCACCGTTACCGCAGAAGGGCCCTGTGGTACAGTGGTGGTGTCCCTATCTTTAGGCTGCAGAGGCCCAGTTTCAAGTCCCACCTGCTCCAGAGGTGTGCAATAACATCTCTGAGCAGGGTGATTTGGGAATAAATTACCACTCACTTTGTCTTTTTCTCCGAGAACTCTCACCATCTCTTCTACTTACTCGTTCTCCCCATTGGTCAATGACATATACTACAGCATTTTCCAGCCTGTTTTGTTCTGAAGAAGTCTCTGTGACTCAAAATGTTAATTATTTTTATTGCTCCACAAATGCTGCTTGCCATGCTGAGTATATCCAATGCTTTCTGTTTTATTGGTTATTCAGTCAACACCATTTTTTATTTTTTAAAGCTAAATAATTTAAACCCTGCTATTTCCTTTCTTTCAACAGAAAGTTGACATTCTGTTGATGAAGTCTCTTTGGCAAAAGAATAACATTTTTATTTTGGGATTCATGGATCATTAAACTCATCAGATTTGTCAACAATGGCTTTAAGTAAATGAGTTTTTTTTTAAAAAAGTGCTTGACTCATCAAGGGGATTTTTATAATATTGCCCTACGATTTCACAAGTGTAGCATCTCAAATTGCTTTATGCACAATCTTGTATCTGAAACACCCTATCCAATGCAGTGGCCCTCGATGCATCTGCATCAGATCAATATGCTAATAACATTGTGTAAAAATAGATTCCAATGTGAATTTTGCTGCTGAACTTTCACTCTGCTGACTCGTTTCACATTCCTTCCAGGCTCCCAGTTATGACTGCACAATGACTTGTCAGTCAACCATGTCTGATTGTCAACGAACAGTCACTGATGAGCATGAGCCGTCCAAAGTCAACATAACAAACATCTACAATTTCGTGAAGAAAGGACTTGGGAAAACTTGAATATTCATACATGTCCCATGTCCTCAGGACACCACAAATTATGTCACGACCAATAAATTAGTTTTGAAGTGCTGTTATATTATCCACTGTTGTTTTGATGTTTAAATAATCAACTGCAGGAGACTTAGTATAAATTTTTACAAGCATTTTATTTGAACATCACAGGAGAGATCTGCCTCAGTTATTGGACCAAAGCAAAACTCTGGTACATACAGGAAAGTTGAACATCATTGTGCTGTTAACATCTCATTATCCACTTTCCAATCTTCCTTTGTCCACATCAAACAAAACAGATGCCCCTTCTTTATCACAGGTTAAAATGTTAAAGTCTCCTTCACCGAGCCTGGGACTAAATAATCAGTCTCACCCTGGATGTTGCTGTCTTCCTATTATCAATGTCTGTCATACCCTGTCTTTCCCAAGGCCTTCTCGGAAAGTTTTCATCAACGTTGTCCCCTGTTTGTGCAGATTCTGTCAGAGATCCTACTAACCAGAGCCTCTACGTTGTTTTTCGCATGGAGTTATCATTCATCTCTTTCCACTCGAAGATCTAAATGTCCCCCTCACATCAACCAAACAAGTTTCTTTGCTGATTCAAACATCATTCAGCCCACCTTAATTTACTCATCCAGAAAGATCACAAAGCTTCCTAATAGCTATGTCATTTGGTTCTCCAACAATAGCTCCAACTATGAAGTTGTTCCATTGTGTCTATGTAATAACTCAGGAAGCCAGACTGGAAAGGAACATCATTTATTGTTGTTTACTGAAATAGAGCCACTACTCGTGCCGTACATAGGCTGGTCCCAGTTTGGGATGGACAATTCTGCAGACACATCCCTGGCTCTGCTTCATTTTCTTGAAATCAACCTGACCAGAAATGTTATGATACACATCTGGAGCAGGTGAAACTTCAACCCAGGCCTTCTGGCTCAGAGGTATGGACATTACCACTGCAGCACAAACACCCTTGTTTGGTCTGCTTTTTTATTTTGTTTTCAACTACGAACTGCCACCAGTAAATCACCCATGCAGCTAATGAGAAATGTAAATGCAAAGCTCATTGCAGGCAAGGCCTGCATCATCCCCTTCTTTGGTTGACTCATGATGTGGAGGTGCTGGTGTTGGACGAGGGTGGACAAAGGCAGAAGTCATATGACATCAGGTTATAGTCCAACGTGTTTGTTTAAAATTACAAACTCTTAGGGCACTGCTCCTTTTGTCAGGTACGGTCCAAAAACGTGTGGGTTTAAATAAACTTGTAGGACTATAAGTTGGTTGACTCAAATACATCTTCTACCTCAACTTTCAAGTTACCATTTTGGTTTTTAAAAGGACTTGTCATTTCCTTAATTACACTCTTTCGCTATAAAATATTTACAAACGTAATAACTTTGAATAATTTTCCATGATCGTTCTCTGGGCTGGTTTTCGGCAGAAACAGGTTTGAGGAGGCTGGGAGCAAGGAAATGGTTGGGGACAGCCTATTGGACTAGCTCCTCAGCACAATCCTTTTTTCTTCATTCACTCATGGGATTTGAATGTTTGTGGCTGGGCCAGCATTTATTGCCTGTCCCTAATTTCCCAGAGGGTAGTTGAGAGTCAGCCACAGTGCTGTGGGGCTGGAGTTGCATGTAGGCCAGACCAGATAAGGATGGCAGATTTACCTCCCTAAAGGACATAAGTGAGCCGCTTTGTTTCTTTCTCCCCCAACAATCAGCAATGGCTTTTTAGCCATCGTTATACCCTTAATTCCAGATTCTTTATTGAATTAAAATTCCACCATCTGCCATGGCGAGATTTGAACTCGTGTCCCAGAATATCAGATGAGTTTCTGGATTAAAACTCTAGCGACCACTAGGCGAATGTCTCCCCAGTGTTGCCAGCATGTTAACAGGCGTGAGTTTGGAAGGGGCTCTGATGTGTGTACCATTGATACAAGCAGCCACTTGAAGTGATTTTAAACCCTATTTATATAACATAGAAACATAGCAGATCGGAGCAGGAGGAGGGCATTCGGCCCTTCCAGTCTGCTCTGCCATTCATCATGATCCAGGCTGATCATCCAACTCAATAGCCAACCCCTCTTTCTCCTCAAACCTTTGATCCCATTCGCCCCAAGTGCTATGTCTAGCCACCTCTTGAATACATTCACTGTTTTGGCATCAATTACTTCCTGTGGTAAAGAATTCCACAGACTCATCACTTTTTGGGTAAAGAAATGTCTCCTCATCTCCATCCTAAAACGTCTACCCCAAATCCTCACACTGTGACCCCTGGTTCCGGATACATCCACCATCAGGAACATCCTCCCTGCATTGACCCTGTCTAGTCCTGTTAGAATTTTAGAAGTCTCTATGAGATTCCACCCTCATCCATCTGAACTCTAGTGAAAATAATCCCAACCTAGTCAATCTCTCCTCATATGCCAGACCTGCCATCCCCAGAATCAGCCTGGTAAACTTTCCCTGCACTCCAGCAAGAGCAAGAGCAAGAGCATCCTTTGCAACTCCAACATTTTGCTCGGCTGAATGGTTCTTTCCATTCAGAAAGCACTAGCACAATGGAGGCAACTCCTGGAGCTGTTCTGACTACCAATAGAGAGAGCCAGAGATTGCATTTGAACCTGCCTTTGATTATGAACAAGTGAAATATTATCATATCCTGATTGAGCAGAGGAGCACCTTCTTCATCCAGATGGACCTGCTGACTTCGGTCTTGTTAAATTCCTCATCGCTGTGCAAGACCAAGAAAACACCTCCATGTTCAAATGCCCTCACAGTCTCTGAGCTCAGCATTCTCATGGTGGGATTGCCACGGTTTCAGAGCTTAACAGTCACCACTGCCTTTGTCTTTTGTTTTATAATGTCTTAAATCTCTCATCTCCCTTAACGTTTCCCTTAGTTGCCCCTCTGTTCCACTTGCTGCACCCTCTCTCCGCTCAAATGCACAAAACCCATGCCTTTTCTGCCTGTCCTCAATCTCACAGAAGAGTCATGCTCGACTCTAAACAAAGTTAACTCTGCTTCTGTCTCCACAGATGCTGCCAGACCTGCTGGATTTCTCTCACACTTAATATTATTATTCCTTTTCTTCCCTAATTTCCTTTTTAATCAAAGTCCTATGTTTTTCTGAGACAACAAGGTGCAGAGCTGGATGAACACAGCAGGCCAAGCAGCATCATAGGAGCAGAAAGGCTGACGTTT